TTACGATTAGTTCATAAGGGCACAAAAGTTAATGAGAGTTGTATAGACTATATCCTACACACAAGATTTGTCATAGAAGGAACAATATTTTGTGTTTTCTTTTAAAATTGTGTTTACTTTCATCCAGGCAGTGGTAGCACATGCCTTTAGTTCTAGTACTCAGGAAGCAGAGACAGGCAAATTTTTGAGTTCAAAGTCAGCCTGGTCTACAGAATGAGTTCCAAGAGAGCCAGGGCTACATAGAGAATCCTGACTCGGAAAACAAACAAAAAATTATTATTTATTATCAAAAATACATATTCAGAGCAGATGTGAACATGCCCTGCAAATGTAGGAAACCCAAACGTTCTCTCTTTTGTTTATGTTCTAACTCTAGACATCCAGGATTACAATGTAGTGATTTCATTGCATTGTAAATTTTGGAGTGGCTTAAATGGAATCTCTCTCTCTCTCTCTCTCTCTCTCTCTCTCTCTCTCTCTCTCTCTCTCTTCTCTCTTCTCTCTTCTCTCTTCTCTCTTCTCTCCTCTCTCTCCCAAAGGGCCATTCTAGGATACCATAGCCTCTCTTTGAACTCCCTAATCCTCTTTCTGCCTTCCTAAACAGCTCCCACAATATCTGTAATTTTGATTGTGACTTTTAATCATGTGAGTTTTTAAGGTTCTAACTTCTCATTTCTATTACAGACAAGAGCATCCAGATTCCATCCAGGAGAGGCTGAGCTTCAGAGTAGAGGCCAAAAGTTCACTCATTGGTTCTACTTCTTGACAAGTTTCCAAGGAGCATCTTAAAATGAAGATAATGAGACTGGGATTGTGACACAAAGAATTGTCAATCACTATTCACAGATTCCGATGGCTGTTGTTTCAGAGTTGTTTCTTTATCTGTGATTCTTAACTGCTTGTCCTATTGGGAATGACAACAGCAATAGAAAGAGATAATTTCTCTGTCTTTGCTTCCCACAGAGGTAATCATGCATGATGTCTCCTGGCCCTGCCCCTCCAAGGAGACTCAAGAGCTACCAACTAGGCTGTGAGCCCTCAGAGAATAAAATCTCCTTTCCTGAGGATTCTGCTGCATTTCAAGGAGGAGCAGTCCTGAGGGTTCTCCAGTTACCCAGAAATTCTGCAGGTATAGGACCCTGTGCCACACTACAGCTGCTTCCTTTTAAGACATTTTGGGTGTTAATGTGTGAGTCAACAAGGTTGTATAAATTTAATGCACCACAAATTCCTCCCAGACAGCTTGAAGCATCTTATCTTTGTTTAACTCTTCTGTTACTGCCACTCTTTATTTCTTTATTTCTTTATTGTGATGAGAAATAGATGGTCTCTATGAATGCTAAACTTACATGCTTATTCATATTCTGTGAAAATAGTAATTTCCATATCATGGCTTTAGATGAAATATATGGAATAACATGCCTACTTAACAGAAATTATAGTAGACTATGTTATGGGATAGCGTTTCATTTCATTGAAATTAACACATACTGATTGTCTTATGTATGTTCCATTTAATTAATATCAGTATTGAAAAAAAATGTTTGTTTATTGAATTGGACTGTAAAAGCTAAATGCATATTATGATTATGTCTTATATTTATCTGTCATATAACTTTCAAGACATATCCCAGTACCTAGAATGTAGTCAATAAGTAAGTAAGTGCATTATATTTTCTGGAATCTAGAGGATGAATTTTAGCAAGGGGAGGGAACTGAGTTGTCAATGAGTGTAGAAAAATGGGAAAAGAATGAGATTCTTGATAATTATTTAAATCTTCTGTTTAGTAAATTTTTATGTTTAATATGTATATTTTTATGTCTTCTCTTGTCTCTAAAACACATATTTACAACAATATCCTTATTACATTTCAATCCTCTGTCGTACTCAAATATAGTGCTGGGTACACACAGAACATAATCTAGATGATTAACTAGCACTCAAAGGTTAGTGAAGAGATGATCTAGTAAGACTGACTTTCAGTTCATCCTGGTGTATTAAAAAATCATTTACTTCGCCAGTCCTCCCTCCATAGTATAACTTGGAAAAGTCTCTAGCTCATCAATATGTAGGAAAGAAAAGTAGAAGCTTCTTCCTTGGTAGTTACAAGTAAGCAGTTGAGATGAGCAATTGAGGAACAATGAGGTGGCTGCTTCAGTGTTGCTTTGCCCATGACTGACACCATAGAAAAGAAACAATAGTTCATCAAACTTGAGATTTACATTTTAAAATATGATAAATTTAAATGATAATATTTTGTTTATATATGAAGAAATGCCTTCCTTCTGAGATACTTCCTTTCGTGCTTTAGAATAACCAGATCATTTATTAGCCATACTAGTTGGACAAGTTTTAATTTCTGAAGTCGTACACGCATAGATTAATGTATATCATCATAATAATTCTTTAAATTTACACTTGTAAATGGAACATACTTCAAAGTGAAGTCCCGGTGGACCCTTGACATGTAACATTTGCTTTCTAATTGATTGCTTTAATTAACGTTAGATACATTGCATTGAAATCAAAGGAAAAGGATTATACAGATTAATATATACTAAATTCAAGTGCTTAACATTTGGTGAACACTTCAAGTGTTCTTGCCCCATCTTAAAGATGTTACTTTAATATGGATCTCAGCAATGATTTTTTTTCTCTATTGAATGACACATTTCTTGTGGGAGAAGAACTGAACTTAGTATAAATAAAGAGACTTTATTCTAAAAGAAACAAGACCTCTTAAGACAACAATAGCTAGTAGTTTAATCAACAGTTTACATGTATTCATTTATTTGCCATTTAACAAATATGTATCAATTGCCAGATTTAGAAAACAAGCAAACCTGGTCGCCAGTTTTATAATAAACAATAAGTGACTATACCAAATGGTTTCTAATGTATCAAACATATTATCTGTATTTCCTTTTTGCTATGAAAAAAAGTTTAAATATAATGTTTTTTCTATGCATCATGTGTAAAACAAACCTTTATGCCCCATTAAGATAGTATGCTCCCCAGATATTAGACCAAACTGTGGAAATATTCTTCAACAGCAGTATCATACTATGCCAAGTCAAAGAGGACAAGACATGTGCCATAATGTTGAAATCTTAGATTTTGTAGTTTAAAATGTAACTGAAATGTTTTCAAAGTACTTTGCTAATTGTATATTCCATCTCTACAGAAATATCTGCGCAAGAAAAAAAATTATAAATTGACAGTTGCTAAAGAACATGAAATGAGAGTAAGAAGAGCTAGTCAGGGATCATTTGCAGGAATATTATTAATAAAAAATTACACAAAGCCATCCATATGGACTACAGACATCCATCAGGTGGCTAGAATCTTTCTTCCAACTGATTCCCTTTCCCCTTCCCAGATGTCATTTTTCACGTACTGCTATATACTGCCTTCTTTGTCCAAATTCTACACTCCAAACGCATCTCCTGCCTTTATTTTTACACTATGTCTCCACACAATATCTCATGAAACTGAGTACATATGAATTCTTGAGTTGTTTAAATCCACTTTCCACACATCTAGGAAAATACACAAAATATCAAGCTTCAGATGGCCCTGTCTAAACTCTCCAGTTCTGCTTTTTCTGACATAGTTTTATTTCCACCTCTACCTTGTTATTCTTATCAGTTGCATGTCTATTTTATGAGTGTCTTTCTCAGAAGAAAATTCTGTCTGTCATGCAAATTTCCTTGGGAAACACTCTTTAACATCTCCTTGGTACTGATGTTAATTAAGCTAGAGATTCTTCCAAAGCAATATAATTCCTATTGCTACTTATGAAATAGTCAAAATATGTATAATTATTGATGCAAAGATCAGCCAAAGTTTCTCCACTTAAAATTGTAAATCCCTATGATTTGGATTTCAAATACAGTGTGTGTTACAAATTGAGGAAATGGACTAAAAACAAAACCAGTGCACATCGTCCTTATTTTTATTCTATGCCAATTTTCTTCAGAGAAAACATAGAAAGAGAGGTCTAAATAAATAGTACATGGGAAATTTGCCTGTAAGAGTACGTATATAGGCACTTACTGAGCACCATTCCAAATCTTTGAATGTTCATAGAAACTCCCATGCACTGAGTCTGAGTGGTAATACATTTGGTAAAACAAAAATTATCCCTCTTTCCTAGAATGTATTAATAATTATATGAATGCCCCACCTGATTAGCCATAAAATAAACAATGATTATTGTTTACATTTCAAGGTATTGATACATATTCTGGATGGATATACACAAACAAATAGGAAGGCACACAACATCATGTATTATTGTCTACAGATATAATTTCTACTACCTCTTTCCTCATCACTAACAACGTTTCAAATTCTATACATACATCTATATATTGCCTTGTGTTCCACAAAGGGCCCTGAATTTTCTTACCCATAAAATGTCCACTTGATAGACATACAACCCAATCATAAAAAAGAAAAGTTGTTTTAGGATTTTCTTTGAGTGAGGTTATGAAAGCAGCCTCTAGATTTTAGCTATGACTTAGGCACTTGAAGTAACAAATATTAATTCTATCAAATTATTTTCTTTCTATTCTGGTATTATTCCAAACTTAAAAGTCTGTTTACTACTTGATTTGTGTTCATTGCATGTTGGTATGATGTTTGAATCAGAGACATTAGTAATTCTTTTATATTCTTACATGCATAAAACTCTGAGACAACTATATTTTACAATTGTTTTGTGCGTAGGATTTGCTACAGCTCATAATTGATTCTATGCCAATTATTCTAAGTATGTAAGCACTGACAATGGAGTACTCTTCCAAATTTTGATGTCAGTTAAAACTATAGTTTGTGCACAACTTTTTAATTATACATCATTAACTTATTAATGAATGACTACATCCTACTGATGTTTACTAATAGATTTCTCATGTTGCTAAAATCTGAGAGAAATGATATAACCACATTTTATAAGAATGAAGGCTCAGTTCTCTGCATCCTCTTTCATAGTGAAATGAAGAGAAATCAGACGATGGTCACAGAGTTCATTCTGCTGGGATTCTGTCTTGGCCAAAGGATTCAACTTATTCTTTTTCTACTATTCTTTCTTTTATATATTTTCACCATACTGGGGAATGGGACTATCCTTGCAATAATCTGCCTGGACTCCAGACTCCACACTCCCATGTACTTCTTCCTATCCCAGCTGGCTATTGTCGATATGGCCTATGCCTGCAATACAGTGCCACAGACACTCATAAACCTCTTGGATGAGACCAGGCCCATAACCTTTGCTGGATGCATGACACAGACATTTCTCTTCTTGGCTTTCGCACACACAGAATGTGTGCTCCTTGTGGTGATGTCCTATGACCGCTATGTAGCTATCTGCCATCCGCTACACTACACTGTCATCATGAACTGGAGAGTGTGTACCATCCTGGTTGTTGTTTCCTGGATAGTTAGTTTTCTTCTGGCTCTGGTCCATGTAGTCCTCATGCTGAGGCTGCCCTTCAGTGGACCTCATGAAATCAATCACTTCTTCTGTGAAATCCTATCTGTCCTCAAGCTTGCCTGTGCCGACACAACACTCAATCAAGTAGTTATCTTTGCAGCTTGTGTGTTCATATTAGTAGGGCCCCTGTGCTTTGTCCTAATCTCCTACACCCGCATCCTGCTGGCAATCCTGAGGATCCAGTCAGGGGAAGGTCGCAGAAAGGCTTTCTCCACCTGTTCCTCCCACCTCTGTGTGGTCGGACTCTTCTTTGGCAGCGCCATCATCATGTACATGGCCCCCAAGTCCCAGCACCCAGAGGAGCAGCAGAAGGTCCTTTTTCTGTTTTATAGCTTTTTCAACCCCATGCTGAACCCTTTTATCTACAGCCTGAGGAACGCTGAGGTCAAGGGTGCTCTCAGGAGGACACTGAGCAAAGCAAGTCATTCCCAGTTGGTGTGGTGTTCTGAATAGAAGTCTTGGTAGTTTTCTCTAATCCTGATCTTCAATTATTTCTTAAATCCAGGAGTGCTCACTATCTTTTGTTATAATGTCTACTTATATAGGATCAAATTATCCTAATCTGCAGGATTTATAATGTCGTATTCCTGAGCTTCCTCAGAGATAAAACCTTGTAAGATGTATTTTGCTTTCTAGTTGAATTGATTAGCTAAAAAATTAAATAATATTTTAATCATTCTCTGGGTCTTTTAGTTATTCATCAGTTTCTTTAATTAAATGACCTGACAAAACACATAGGAGGGAGACGAAAAGTAAGCCATATCCAAAACGTACGCCCTGCATCTCATACACGTGACAGTTCCCACAACTACACTTGACCAATCCAAGAGTTATTTGGAGGTTTCTACCCATTATCTATGGTATGTATGACTACAAATGAAAGTTACTGACATGTGGAGTTAATTTGTTGGGCTGAGTGAAGGAACAGATTTAAAACAAGAGATCTAAGAATAAGAAGGGAGGACCATATTAAAACCCCATAGAGAGCTGGAACATGCCTTTAATCCCAGAAGGAAGAAGAATCTATGTGATTTTGCGGCCAATATGGTTTTCATAAAGAGTTCCATTACAGCCATTGTTTCCTAGAGAGACCCTGTCTCAAAAGAAATCAACTAGTCAAACTAGGAAACAAATATAGGCCCGAGCATAGAGCAGGTCACAGGCGGCAGCTTCGTACCCAACCCCAGAAAACCGAGAGAAAGAGGGACTCCCAGGAGCTTTAACTCAGGCAGCATCCCAGGTAAGGAAAAAGCAGCACTTGCCCCAAAGAGGGAGCAACTGGGACCCAGGAATTCGCTCCTGGCCGGGAGCACGGACTCCATCTGGTGTGGGTCCAAGCACTCGCAGATCATGGGAGTCAGCACTGCACCCAATCTCACAGAATCCAGAGGAAGTGGGGCTCTCAGGACCTCTCTGCCAAGCAGTATCTTAGGCTAGGAGGTGGCAATACTTGCCCCCAAACAGGGAGCAACCAGGACCCACTGGGACCTAGGAACTCACTCCTGGCCTGGGGCATGGGTTCCTTCCGGTCTGAGCCCGAGCAGATCTCGGGAGTCAGCCCTGCACTCAATCTCACAGAACATAGAGGAAGCAGAGCTCTCAGTAGCTCTAACTCAAGCAGTATCTTAGGCTAGGAGCTGGCAATACTTGCCCCCAATCAGGGAGCAACCAGGACCCACTGGGACCCAGGATTCCACTCCTGACCCAGAGCCAGGCCCCTTCCGGTTTCTGCCTGAGCACAGAGCACATCTTGAGCCTCAGCTCTAACCCCAGCAGCAAAACCCATCCCTAACAGTTCTGACACAACCTAGATAATAGGAAAGACAGACCCCAGTCAGAGACAGCACAGATAGCACAAAGGAGATCCAGATGGCAAAAGGCAAGCGCAAGAATACAAGCACCAGCAACCCAAGGTACTTGCCATCATCTGAACCTAGTTCTCCCACATTAGAAAGTCCTGAACTCCCCATATCACCAGGAAAACAAGAACCAGATCTAGAATCACTTCTAATGATGATGCTAGAGGACTATAAGAAGGAAATAAATAACACTATCAAAAAACTTGAGGAGAACACAGGAAAACAGGATGAAGTCCTTAAAGAAACACAAAAATCCTTTAAAGAATTACAAGAAAACACAAACAAACAGATGAAGGAATTGAACAAAACCATCCAGGACATAAAAATGGAAGTAGAAACAATAAAGAAATCACAAAGGGAGATTACCCTGGAGATAGGAAACCTAAGAAAGAAATCAGGAGTCATACACAAGCATCACCAACAGAATACAAGACATAGAAGAAAGAATCTCAGGTGCAGAAGATACCTTAGAAAATATTGACACAACTGTCAAAGAAAACGCAAAATGCAGAAAGTTCTTAGCACAAACTATCCACGAAATCCAGGACGCAATGAGAAGACCAAACCTAAGGATAATAGGTATAGATGAGAGTGAAGATTCCCAGCTTAAAGGGTCAATAAATATCTTCAACAAAATTATTGAGGAAAACTTCCCTAACCTAAGGAAGGAGATGCCCATAATCACACAAGAAGCCTACAGAACACCAAACAGACTAGATCAAAAAAGAAATACCTCCCGTCACATAATAATCAAGACACAAAATGCACAAAACAAAGAAAGAATTTTAAAAGCAGTAAGGGAACAAGGCCAAGTAACATATAAAGGCAAACCTATCAGAATTACACCTGACTTCTCACTAGATACTATAAAAGCCAGAAGATCCTGGACAAATATCATACAGACCCTAAGAGAACATAAATGCCAGCCCAGGCTACTATACCCAGCAAAACTCTCAATTACCATAGACGGAGAAACTAAGATATTCCATGACAAAACCGAATTTACACAGTATCTTCCCACAAATCCAGCTCTACAAAGGATAATACCAGGAAAGCTCCAATACAAGGAGCAGGAAATAATCAAACTCAAGGCTGAAATCAACCAAATAGAAACAAAAAGAACTATCCAAAGAATCAATAAAACCAGCAGCTGGTTCTTTGAGAAAATCAACAAGATAGATAAACCCTTAGCTAGACTAATCAGAGGGCAGAGAGACAGTATCAAAATTAATAAAATCAGAACTGAAAAGGGTGACATAACAACAGAAACCGAGGAAATTAAAAAAATCATCAGATCCTACTACAAAAGCCTATACTCAACAAAATTGGAAAATTTGGATAAAATGGACAATTTTCTAGACAAATACCAGTTACTAATGTTAAATCAGGACCAGATAAACCATCTAAACAGTCCCATAACCCCAAAAGAAATAGAAGCAGCCATTAAAAGTCTCCCTACAAAGAAAAGTCCGGGACCAGACGGTTTTAGTGCAGAATTCTATCAGACTGTCAAGGAAGACCTAATTCCAATTCCTTTCAAACTATTCCACAAAATAGAAACAGAAGGTACACTACCCAATTCATTCTATGAAGCCACAATTACCCTCATACCTAAACCACACAAAGACCCAACAAAGAAAGAGAACTTCAGGCCAATCTCCCTTATGAACATTGATGCAAAATTACTCAATAAAATTCTAGTGAACCGAATCCAAGAACACATCAAAACAATTATCCATCACGATCAAGTAGGCTTTATCCCAGGAATGCAGGGTTGGTTCAATATTCGGAAATCCATCAATGTAATCCATTATATAAACAAACTCAAAGGAAAAAACTACATGATCATCATATCACTAGATGCTGAGAAAGCATTTGACAAAATTCAACACCCCTTCATGATAAAAGTCTTGGAAAGGTCAGGAATTCAAGGTCCATACCTAAACATAGTAAAAGCAATATACAGCAAACCAGTATCCAGCATCAAACTAAATGGAGAGAAACTTGAAGCAATCCCACTAAAATCAGGGACTAGGCAAGGCTGCCCACTCTCCCCCTACTTATTTAATATAGTATTGGAATTCCTAGCCAGAGCAATTAGGCAGCACAAGGAGGTCAAAGGGATACAAATTGGAAAGGAAGAAGTCAAAATCTCACTATTTGCAGATGATATGATAGTTTTACTTAAGTGACCCAAAAACTTCCACCAGAGAACTCCTAAACCTGATAAACAGCTTTAGCAAAATGGCTGGATATAAAATTAACTCAAGCAAATCAGTAGCCTTCCTCTACTCAAAAGATAAACTGGCTGAGAAAGAAATTATGGAAATGACACCCTACACAATAGTCACAGATAATATAAAATACCTTGGTTTGAACCTAACCAAGCAAGTAAAAGACCTGTATGACAAGAACTTCATGCCCCTGAAGAAAGAAATCGAAGCAGATCTCAGAAGATGGAAAGATCTCCCATGCTCATGGATTGGAAGGATTAATATAGTAAAAGTAGCTTTTGCCAAAAGCCATCTACAGATTTAATGCAATCCCCGTCAAAATTCCCACTCAATTCTTCACAGAGATAGAAAGAGCAATCTTAAAATTCATTTGGAATAACAAAAAACCCAGGATTGCGAAAATTACTCTCAGCAATAAAAGAACTTCTGGAGGAATCACCATCCCTGTCTTCAAGCTGTATTACAAAGCAATAGTGATAAAAACTGCATGGTGTTGGAACAGAGACAGGCAGGAAGATCAATGGAATAGAATAGAAGATCCAGAAATGAACCCCCATACCTATGGTCACTTGACCTTTGACAAAGGAGCTAAAACCATTCAGTGGAAAAAAGATAGCATTTTCAACAAATGGTGTTGGTCCAACTGGTGGTCAGCATGGAGAAAAATGCAAATTGATCCATACTTATCTCCTTGTACAAAGCTCAATTCCAAGTGGATTAAGGACCTCCACCTAAAACCAGCCACACTGAAACTAATAGAGAAGAAACTGGGGAAAAGCCTGGATCACATAGGCACAAGAAAAAAGTTCCTGAACAGTACACCAATGGCTTGTGCTCTAAGACCAAGAATAGACAAATGGGACCTCATAAAGCTGCAAAGCTTCTGTAAAGCAAAGGAGACAGTCAATAGAACAAAGCTGCAACCAACAGATTGGGAAAAGATCTTCACCAACCCTACATCTGATAAAGGGCTAATATCCAAGGCATACAAAGAACTGAAGAAAGTAGACTATAGACAATCAAAGAACCCTATTAAAAAATGGAGCACAGAGCTGAACAAAGAATTCTCAACTGAGGAAGCTCAAATGGTTGAGAAGCAGCTAAAGAAGTGTTCAGCATCCCTAGTCATCAGGGAAATGCAAATGAAAATAACACTGAGATTCCACCTCACACCAGTCAGAATGCCTAAGATCAAAAATACAGGTGATAGCACATGTTGGCAAGGATGTGGAGAAAAAGGAACACCCTCCACTGTTGGTGGGGTTGTAAACTGGTACAACCACTATGGAAGGCAGTCTGGCAGTATCTCAGAAAATTGAACATAGTGTTACCTGAGGACCCAGCTATACCACTCCTGGGC